AGGTAACCAGACATGCCAGGCAAGAAGCCCTGTCATGCTCGCAAATGTGTTCCTTTGTCTTCATGCAAAAATACACGTGCATCAGTTACATTTAGAAATAATTTGACATGTTAGTACTTTGAGGTCATCACAACTCAATATGCTGTTTGAAGAATGAATCTACTTCCCTGTTTATGAAAAGCTCTGTGCGAATGTAAATAACACCTACATAACCAGAAGCCACCACAGGGCTGGGATGCTCAGCCTGCTGTTGGTGGACATGAACTTTGAGCTGTCGCCTTGTGGCACACTTGGCCTGGGCTGACTCACCACACTCCCACATTCCCTTCTTCCTGTGAACAGTGGCAGCCCCTGGTCAGGGGTGGTGGGTGCGAGACATCCACCCCCTAGCCCACAGATTTGAGCTACAAGACTACAGCACCCACTTTAACTAAATGCAGTAAAATTACCATGTAAGTAATTAAAGGAAGGCAAGGTAACATTCTCAGACTGTAGAGTATTAGTCAGCAAGGATATTAAAGAGTATGGAGCCCAGGACCCTTGACCTTGGCTGCACGTTGGAACCACCCGGGGAGGCTTGCACCAGACCAGTGAGGTTGCTCCCTGGTGTGCAGGCATCAGTGTGCCCAGGTCGGGGGCCAGTGATCCCGTTCATGGTTCTCAAGCCCACTAGCTCATAAGAATCACCTGGGGAGCTGTACAAAAATAAACTTCCAGGACTCATCCCAGACTTATATGGGTGTAGGGCCCAGGGAATCCTTAAAACTCCCAGGAGATTCTGTGATCAGGGAGGTTTGGGAACCACTGATCTACTCAGTTCTGACACTCTTGAGGCCACAGAAATGTTCCACGTCTTGCCCTAGCAAATGTGATCAGCAAACAGAAAAGCCAGCACCAGTGCTCAGGGCTACAGACTCTCAGCTGAGCATTCTTGAGGAAGAAATTACTAAATCTCTCTCTCTCAAGCTGGAAAAAAATAACGGCTTTTATATTTTAGGTTTCACAAAGAATTTAAACCATGTTCTTTTCCTATTTCATCAGGACCTCCTCACATCTAGAATAAACTCCAGCTGCAAAAGGAGTTTTTTTAGTAGTTTATCAGAAAGAGTTCCCTAATTGCAAGCATCAATCACTAAAATTATGGATGATGAGGCAAGATTGCAGAATCTCCTTTTAAAATGATATTTTAAAAAATATACTTTCATTTCTCCAAGAGACTTGAGAGGTGGAGGCATCTACTCTGTGCCAGTCACCATGTCTCTGAGAGACCCAAGAGATTATAAGACATGGCATCCAGGAGCTTATTTCCTCGGTGGGGAGACCAACAAATAAAGGGAGGCAAATGGACTGTGGGCCAGACAGTGAGCGCACTAGGCCTGCAGAGGAGGTGGGGAGTGAGCCGGATGCTGCTCCGAGCTTATCTAAACGCAAGACTCAGGACGCCGAACATGGTGTTCCCAGATCCCACCCAGCCCTGGCAGTAGGAAAACACTAACAGGTTTTTTCTTATAATCTTGTAGTTCATTCTTTATGCTAATTATCACTGGAGTTTTTTTTCTTTTTTTTGGTAGATTTTTTTTTCTAGTTGGATTGTTTGGAGTTTGTCTTTTGCCTGTGTTGTCCTCGGCTCAGTCAGAAATGACATATTTGGCACACAGTTGCAAAGCCTGCGGGTATTGTATAAATTCTTGGTGCCTGAGTGATTCCAGGTGGCCTCCACAGGGCCGATGTCACCAGGTACCCCAGCTCAGCACGTCCGTGTCAGAGTGCTCCCTCTGCTGGTTGATTCTAAAAGTGAGACTTGGTTTCAAGACAACCTTGAATTACTCCTGCACTTTCCTCACATTCAAGAATGTGTCACTACACAATAGTGAGAATTTCCTGGCTGAAGAGATATTTGACTTAAGAAAAAAATCTTATTCCAGACTCATTTAAGCTGACCATCTTAAGAAATGCCAGCTCATTTGGGTTTTTAAGAAGAAACAGCATGACCAACAGAGAAAATCTGAATGTGTTTTTACTTTCACGTTTGGCCTAGCAATGAGAAGACTGTAGAGATTAGACCAATGTCCCCAGATATGCCTGCTAGTGAGGAGTAAAGAACTGACTCACAGGGCATCTGGAGGGAGTTGGGATTGTCAGAGTTAGCAAATAAAACAACCAGTTAAATTTGCATTTCAGCTAACAATGGATAGTTTTTGTAGTATATGTCCCATGCAATATTTAAGGCACACTAGAACATTATTCATTGTCTAGCTGACATGCAGCTCTAATGGGAAGCCTGTGTTTTATCTGGCAACCTGACAAGGGAGGAAAGAGAGACAGGACGAGGAGAAAGGTCAGCCCAGAGTGTAAGAAGGCTCTTGGCTGGATACTCAAATGTGCTTGTAGATGGAAGCTGGTAACAGTTGAGCCATTAGGATTGATGCCAGCCCCACCAAGACCCTTTTAATTTAATTCGTTCTCCCTATAGCTGGAGACAGGCCAAGCTTTATTGCATCTGTTGATTAACTAAATGCAGTTTGTCCTGCTTTACTGACTCTGCCTGTTTCCCAGGCTGTAGTCATTCTGGTCGCATGTTAATTAACACATACTGAGCTTCATTGGCCAGTAGCTTTCTTGCCAAACACTTTGGCAGCCACAACAAGATTGCTATCAATGTACCAAGTGTTTTCTCTGACCTGCCCCAGCGCCCAGGTGCTCTTATGGACCAGGTCTGACCCTTGGCTGCTTCCCCTGTGGGATGCTAGGTCAGTCCTCAGAGCCTCTTCCCTATTAGGGAACTTCCCAGTGGATTTGCAACCAAGCACTTGCTGCTTTTCTCCTGATTATCCCTTGAAAGGAGTTTCTCATCCCTTTATTTGTTTTTTATTTCCTCAGGTTTATATTCAAGACATCCAAAGTCTGTAGCTGTGTTTTAGACTGCTCGCTGGGTAATGGCGTGGCCCGCTCCCACACACCTGTCTGCATCAGCAAGAGCTAAACTGGGCCCTGGTAGGAATGAGACCAGGCGTTCGGGCTATGTTCCTGCGCTTGTGTTCCCATTTGCTTCTACAGAATTTGTGTTCTTTTGAAGTGCTGATCCCATGATAGAGATGTTCACCGAGCTAGAATGACTTACTTCACGCTGACTTCAGATGCTGTGTTATCACAATTATTTTAAGTACATCAGAGAGAGAAAGACAGACAACCAAGGCAGACGAGAGACTAAGCTATTGTACCTGGTTTATGTGGAACACAGACCCCGTAATGCCAAGGTCATTCCTCTCACGCACCCAAAACCTGAACCTTGCAGCTCACAAGGGGCAAATCAGGCATGAAAACTGGGGGAGATGTACAGAGCTCCACTACTGCTAGAAGAAGGTCAAAATCTACTTTCTTTAAATCAGCGTAGCTCATCATAAATAATGTCCATGAATAGACTGAAGCTTACCTGGGGGCGCGAATGACCATGGCCCTCCTCAGTTCACCCTAGAAACACAGAGGAAATATGCACTTCCTAGGGGCATGAACAGGGGAGAGTCCCAGAGCTTCTCTGATAGGGTGAGTGACTATCATTTGTCTTTTCCTGGTTTCATTTCAAAAGACTTTTGTAGAACAGATAAATTCTATCTGAAATAACAATTCTCAGACGTGCTCAGGGCATTGGGGTGCTGATGTACATGTGACGGAAGCGGCAGGCCATCGAGTTTACAACTCACTCACTGGCAGCAACTGAGGGTGAAGAGAACAGGCCTGAGACCCATGTGGGGGCAGGTGCAAGCCCAGCAGTTTCAGAGTCAGCAGAGCTCCCAGTTTTTGCTATAAACTCTTTTATCTTCTCCACAATGTGCCCTTTATGCTACTGTCATCCTCAGAGGGCTCCCAGGGCATAGGATAAAGCCCAGTCCCTGGTGGCCCTACCTTGGCAGCCGGACTCTGGCAGCTGCCTGGTAGAACCCAGCTGCTCAGACCCTTGCTTTCCCAGAAGCGCTGCTTTTTCCATCCTCGACCACCCCGCCGTGCCCGCAGCACTGCCGCGGCCGCCCTGCTCATCTCAGGTTCCCTGGTTTCCAGTCCATTTGCACCTGACCCTCTTCAAGCAGCGCGCCCACAATTCCATAGCACAGAGCTGACTCCTCCCTCGGTCCCCGGGCCTTGGGCTCTGCCTCCCAGCTCAGAGCGGGCCACCTGCAGTCCGTGACATCCCTGGGGGATGCATCTTACCTCCTCAACCAGGCTGAATGCTCTCTCAGAGGAACCACCGGCAATGGTGCAACACTGCACAAGCCTCCAAGAAACACTTCAGGAATAAATAAATACTGTGGGGTCTGCTTCTGGCTCCCTAACTCTGAGGAATGTGGGAACAGGTGACCAAGAGAGCATCACCTCCACCATCAGAGGAAAAGCCAATTCCTACAAAGTTAAAATGTATTTGTATGAATAATACCCTTCATGTCATACAGGTTATATGTCGTATATGTTACATATGTATACATGCTATAATTTCCAGATAAAGGTGCAGATTTGAGTGGGAAAATTCTTTCACCCTAAGATTAAAAAACAAATCAACCTGAAACTATTACAATATTGTCAACTATACTTCAATTTGAAAAAAATTTTAAAATTCCAGAAGGCAGTCAATTTTTTCAATTTCTTATTAATAAGAAAATGATAAATTTCTGAAAAAGGATCTTATTACTCAAAATAAGTCACAGAGAATAAGCGCGGTGGTAACCTAACCTCCGAGGCAGCTGTATTCACAAGAGGAGAAGCACGTGGCGGCGGGCCTGTGGCCGCCAGGGCCCCCGCAGGCCTCCAGCTGCTCCTGGAAGCTCCACAACCTGCTCGGCCGCAACTCTAACAGCCCCGCACTGGCCTGTCACCGCGGCACATGAGCTAATTACTGAGGGCAGGTGTCCTTCCTGCAGGATGTTCATATGCCAATCTCAGGGTTTCCTGTAAATGAAGAAATGAGGAAACAGTACAGGAGTGTGGTTGGCTGAATGTTTGTTTTGTTTATGTCTTTCCCTTCTGACTGCAACTCCAGGCAGCCATCATCAGTGGGGAAACGCTGCCTCGTCATAGCCTGGCACGATGAGTGGACATGGGTGCGTGGGCAGCCCGGGTGCGTGGGAGAGGAATCCAGGGAGAGGACCTGGGCACCGGGCAGTGGCGGCGCCGTCTGGGTCTGGAGTGGGGCCGGGACAGAGCCCTCGTCTGCCCGTGACCACCAGGGCCTCCTCTTCTGTGCTTCTGACCCTCACACCCACACTGCGCCGGCAGCGGGAGGGGCCCCCCAGCGCTCGGAGGGGCCCCCCCCCCAGCGCTCTGCCTCTCTCCCCTTCCATGGAGGGTGCAGAGGGGTAGGAAAAATCTGAATAACCAATTCTAAGTAATAGAAATCCTGCCGTCTACCCCCATCTTTCCTTTAAACTCTTAAAGCACTTAGAGTCTAAACCATTTAGCACTGCATCTGTCTCTGCTTGGGTCGTTTACTATTGTTTATTTGTTAATTTCACCTCCCAAACTCAAGTGTAACTTCCTCCAGAGCAGAGAATCACATAATTTTAGTACCATTTTTTCCACATCACCTATGTCTAGTACAGTTTCAAATACATCAAGTGTATTAACTAATTTAAATGGGCAAGGAATAGTTACTGGTGACAGCTTGTCCCAAATATGTAATATTTGTCAATGGAAACAGTCCTGGAGACATTCTTGGCATAAACTGGCTTCTATTCAAAGACAAGAAAACACAGCCCCAAGCAGAAGCTGCTTCTAGAGTGTTCTAGCTGTGGAGGTATCCGGGGTTGTACCCTGGCCTTTATGGCTGGCCCAAGAGAGGTGATTAGATTTGGGTGGAGTTCAGGGTCCCCTGCCCAGAACAGCGCAGGTGATATTGCCTGGGGCCAAGAGGAGAGGAAATCCAGTTCACAGTGAGTTCTGTCAGGTGAGGACTGCTCCAGGGGCCTGCATCAGATACCAGGAGGCCAGTCTCCTCAAGGAGTACTGGGATGTCTGGATTCTGGGGCAATGGGACTGGAGAGCAAAGCAGCAACTCTGGAGTTAGGGTGGCTTTGTGGGGAGTGGCCCCATTTGTCCTCTTTGATGGGGTCACTCTCTGGGACATTTGGTGGCACCGGTAGCTGTCACATGAGCCACAGCAGCAATGGCTCAGACTGATGCCTGGCAGAACAGGAACTCTGCAGGACTAGAGATGCTGGGGAATCTGACCATGCTCTCTCGGGTCCAGTTTGGCAGTAATTAACACTTTCCCAAACAAGAATTAACAGCAGTCACCTGGAGGAGAAGGAGGTTGTTACAGTGTACTCATTTGTGAGCCCCCTCAGCCTACTCTTCTGCTGGGGACACCCTCCCAGACCCCTAACCAGGTCAACAGTGAGTCAGCCTTTGCTCTTGGGGCTTGAACTAGACTTGGGTTAAGCGGTGTCTCTCTCCCACCCTGTTCTCTACTCCCTATCTGTGCAAACAGGCGGAGCAGGGACCAGAGGAGGTGAAGGTGAGCACAGCTACCTGGGCCTGCAAAACCCCTTGTCTTGGATCCCCAGCAAACTGTGGGGACATCAGTTCCATACAAAGTTAGTTTCTCCTTACCCCAGAAAGATCTTCAAATCTGTCCTTCGGAGTGCATTCTTCAGGGAAGGAGGAGAGAGGGGGGACACACAGAGACCTCACCTAGCTCCACTGTTGCTTGAGTTGGGACCAGAATCTAATGTCTCCTCCAACTCTAAAGAGCCCGTGGCGTGTGTCTGTAAGCCAGGTGCAGCTGGGAGTCTTCTGCCCCTCACGACTTGGTGTAGTTAAAGAGTGGCTCCTTGGTGCTGCTCTTGCTCCAGGGCAGTGGGCGTGGAGGTGGAGTGGGGAGTGGAGACTTCAAATTCTGCTCTCTGTGAAAAAAAAGAAAGAAAAGGCAGACGCATGGGGAGAACAGTGTAGCACAGAGAAGGCACACAGTGGATCTCTGGCATCCTGCTGCACTGACGGACAGTGACTGCATTGGGGTATGCGGGGAGACTTGATAATATGGGTAAATGTGGCAACCACATTGTTTTTTCATGTAAAACCTTCATAAGAGTGTATATCAATGATACCTTAATAAAAAATCTAAAAAGAAGAAAAGAAAAGAAAAAGCAGAGGGAAGGGACTTGTGCGTGCAACATTGTGGCCCAGAACATCCGTCCCGGCCGGGGTGGGGTCTTTACCGGACCGCGGGGCAGCCTCGCAGAGCCTCTGGCCTCGCATTCCGGGGGCTTTGCGCCGCCTCCGCCCATCTGTCCTGGCCACTCTCTCCTTTTGCAATTGCATCCGAACTCCAAAAGCCCCACGGATCAGGCAGAGTACCTCCGCCCCTAGCTGTGTGCGTGGCTCCGAGCTCACTGTGGGACCCTGTGTGCCGAGGAAACCCACCCCCGCGCTGCAGCGTCTGGCACTGCCCGACACCGTGCACGGCAGCCGCCTCTAGGGACTGCCACCGTCCCGCTTTGCCCACGTATTTATGTAAATTCCCTTACGGGTAAGCACAAGAAATCCCCAGGAGCGGGGTGGGTGCGGGCTCTTCCAGAGCTGGTACCGGGGCGTGGGAGCGCCCGCCGCCGCGGCCGCCGCCCTCCCTCCTCCTCCCTGGCGGCCCGAGGGGCGGGGCGCGCGGCCTTTAAGGAGGTGCCGGGGAGTGCGGAGGGCGCTCGCCGCCGGAGGTGCGCTCGGGTCCGCGCCGCCGCCGCCCTCGCGACCCGCGCCCTCCGGATCCCCTGTCCGCCCGCCCGACGGGCCCTCCCCCACCCGCTCTGAGCGCGGACCCCGCGCCCACAGCCTGCCCCGCGGGGAGCCGCCAGCCGAGTCATGGACCAGGTGGGTGCAACCCCCCGCCGGCGGACAGCCCGGGGACCCGTGCGGAAGCCCTGCGGACGGCGAGGACAGGGAGGGAGGGCCGCTGATCCCGGCAGGGCTTCGCTCTCCACGCGGACAGAGTTGCAGGCTGTCCGCGGTGAAGACCCAAAGCCAAATGCAGGGATGGGACCCCCGGGCCCTGGCCGGCTCCGATTCAGAGGGAGGCACCGGGCAGGAGGCTACAGAGAGGCATGTGGTCCGTCAAGCCCACCTTAACTGGGCCTAGGGTTCGCGGACTCAGTGGGCACCTTACGCCCAAGAAAGGGGACACACAGCCGGTGCGTCCTGCAGGAAACAGGTGCCATGGAGGCCCTGTGGTAACTTCCCACTTTGCCCACCCCCAGGGAGGGGTCACCTGAGGAGGTGCCTCAGGCCTGTGGCAGCCCAGCCTTCCCTCTACCAGCAAGGGAGCAAAGGGGAGAAAAGACAGGCTAGGCAGGTGCTGTTGAAGGTGGGGAGAGAACCCCACCGCAGTCCTGCTCCTGCCTTTCAGCAGAGGAGGGGTCACCTGAGGAGGTGCCTCAGGCCTGTGGCAGCCCAGCCTTCCCTCTACCAGCAAGGGAGCAAAGGGGAGAAAAGACAGGCTAGGCAGGTGCTGTTGAAGGTGGGGAGAGAACCCCACCGCAGTCCTGCTCCTGCCTTTCAGCAGAGGAGGGGTCACCTGAGGAGGTGCCTCAGGCCTGTGGCAGCCCAGCCTTCCCTCTACCAGCAAGGGAGCAAAGGGGAGAAAAGACAGGCTAGGCAGGTGCTGTTGAAGGTGGGGAGAGAACCCCACCGCAGTCCTGCTCCTGCCTTTCAGCAGAGGAGGGATGAAGGCAGTGGCGGTGATGGGCGGCCTCCAGTTGGTCCCTGACCCGTGGGGAGACATGCTCTTCACCTCTTCAGAAAACTCATCTTGAGCTGATATTGCACCTCTGCTTCCCTTTCAGAAAATACCAGAAATTTTCTCTGTGGAGCTCAGTGGAACTAAAGACATACAGGAAACAGACGGGTGGCATGAAAAAGAGAAGTATAGGGGTCTGAAGAGCAAGCCCTGGGAGCTCAAGAAGCATCACCAGAAGGAGGAGCTTAAGAAAGACCTGGATTTGGTCAGTGGATTTGGTCCTTAAGCCTGAGGGGTCCCACTGAGAACTGCCCTTCCCCCAAGTGCTGGCCCCTATAACCTACCTCTTACAAAAGAAAAATCAGTCTCAAGGATTTCCAAATCCCCTTGAGATTTGTTTCCTTGTTTAAAAAAAAAAGTGATAGTATCTGCCCCAGGGTCAGGCTCTCTGCAGGATTCCTGCCTTCTGGTTTTAGGCACTCCCAGGTAGAACTTAAGGGCAAGAGACTCTGATTCCAGTCCCCACCTGCGTGGCCCAGGCCTCTCTCCTACCTGCTGCTTCACAGAGAGACACACAAACACTTGCCAGGTTTTAGCTGATAAGGTAAAAACTATTTGAGTCAGAACTGCCCAGGAGGAAAACCAAAACCACTGAACTTCGCTAGGTCTCTGGGTATACCTGCCCCATGAGAGAGAATAATTTCACTGGGAAGAACATGGGGCTTGGATTCAGATGCCCGCCCCAAGGCTCAGCTGAAGTCCCACATTCTGTGGACTGATGTGTAACTGGGAGCAAAGTGCCTCACTTCACGGAAACTCCATTTCCTTCATGTAAAGTGGAGAAGAATTGCATGGGGCTGTAAGGAGAGAAAGTAAGAGAAGAATTAAGAGCACTTTGTAACTAAGGTGCATGATGGAAATACAATATAATTACTATTAAGGAAGAACCCTGGTGCTATGAAGGTTGGCCATCATGAAAAAGAGCAGCTTCAGAACTGAAATGTGATAAATCTCAGGGGAAAACTTGTCAGAGGGGAGACTTTTACACTTGAGAGTGAGGTTTTGCTGGATTGCCCCTGCAGTTCATTGCAGACTTTAAAGCTCAGTGATCTTGGGGGCAGATGTGGTGCTGTGAGCTCATGCAGGCCGAAGAGCTGATTGTTAAATATTCAGGAATTCGGCAAGCTAACTGACCGTCAAGTTAGCAGCTTGAAATTTGGCTATGGTGAGAAACTGGCAAATGCTACAAATAGAGCTTTTTGTTTATTTTTCCTGAAGAGCTTGTTAAACATTCAACAGCACACCACTAGTCTATATATATATTCTGGTAGACACTTAAGAACACAGCCCTAAAATTGGACTGAGCTGATTTGAAATCGCAGTTTGACTAAGTTCAGTTTCCTATTTTGAAAAATAGTAATCAAATATGGTGTTTACTTCTTAGAGTTGTTAAAAGGTTTAAATGAGATAAAGCAGGAGAAAGACTTAGCAAAGCACCAGACAATAGTCATTCTTACTTCTTATGTATCTCTAGCATTTCGGTTTGAAGACATATCTAGTGTTATTTGAAATTGCCACTTATAACATGGAAATACATTCATTCTATGATATGCCTGTTTATTATGGTAAGAATCACCCTTTGAGGAGTTTGTGAAGATGTGTGATAAAGAAAAATAATTTCAAGAGTGTTAGCCAAAGTGTTCCCCTGCTACCCTGATGAGAGAGAAACATCCTCCCTCTTTTTTTGGAAGCTTCACCCAATAATCCGATCATTTGTGAGCACGTATTTGGATGCTCTTGCATCCCTACCTCTCTGGCAAATTCGGACCTTGATGAGAACTAAAGTACCCCTGGCTTCTGAATAAAACCGCGGACTGATAAATGATCCAAGCCTGAGCCCGCTATGTGGTGCTGTTCCAGTGCTGGCCAGCAGAGTGCACCCCAGACACCCCCTCCCTCCCCTATGCCCTCAGGCTCAAAGCTGAGCTGAAGCGAGCAGGGAAAGTTCTGTCTCACAGCACCGGCCCCTTGAAGTCTGGGGTCCGTCCGCGCAAAAACGGCTCTAATCCATTACTAGCATCTGCCGAGAACTTGACCTGCCGGGCTCAGAACTGTGTCTGGATCCTCTGAATCCCCAGCAGCAGCATATTTAGTCATCCGTACAGGGAATGAAGGAGAAAGCAGAAATGGACGAGGGGAGGGCAAAAGTATATTTCTGATTGTAGTCTAACCTGTTAACACAACGTGTAACTTTTTTGAGTATATTTAAGAAAAGAGATGGTGCTGATACAATCACAGTATATAAGTCTCAGTATCAGACGATCAGAGTTTAGAGTCCTAAGTGCTGGGTTTTCTAGGTGGGGTGCGGGAGACATACCTCTGGGTTTTCTGAAACAGGAAGACGCTTCTAGTTCTTCAGCTCAGTGGTTCTCAAAGGAGAGAGAGGCAGATTTTGCCCCCCAGGGAACAGTAGTAACATCTGGAGACATTTTGGGTTGCCACAGAGGGAGGGAAGGTGCTAGTAGGTGGCGTCTGGGCAGAAGTCCCCTAGACAAAGGGCTATTGGCCCAAAATGTCATTCATGCCAAGTTTGAGGAGCTGTGCTTTAGTCTAATGATCCTGTGGCAAAATTAGCCAGTGTGGGCCTGCTGGTATTAGGCAGGTTTTGCATCTGCAAGTCTTTTCCAACTAGTGAGCTACCTGAGACTCAAGTACTTGAGTAAGAAAAGGCATGCTTCTCTCTACCTGAGACTACCCACCTGGAGGGCTGCATGGACAAGGAGTCATCAGAACACAGGAAATGGGTTTGATTTAGTAGTGCTCGTCTGCCTCAACTAATCCCAGAATTCAGGTCTGAGTTCAGTATCCAGAGCATGAGAACCTGGAAGACAGGTGTGCTGTGACCTGCATGTGCTGAGAGATCGAGGTGAAATGCATTGCTTTGTTCATAAAAACTAACCATAGCTAAATGGCAAGTTAAGTCTACAGTCTTCAGGGATGGGCAGAAAATCCCCTGGCCAGCCAATCAGAGGACGCCTCTCCTGCGGCAGACTCTCCTCCCGCACTGGAGCCACCACCTGGCACCTGGGGCTCTTGCCTCTTTCCTCCACGTGACCTGGCCCCTCACCCAGCTTTCCGTGACTGGTCAAAGCTTAGGGTTTGAGTCTTTTGAAATTACCTAATTGACTCTGTTCTTCCTCTTATGGACTTCAGGATGACCACAAACTCAGCAATAATGAATTGGAAAAGAAATATGGAACAAACATCATGACGGTAAGTCATCAGGGAATAAGGGGAGGGGAAGAGAAGTTCTGTGGCTGTACAAGGGAGAAGTCTGTGCGCAGGGTGTGTGGAGAAGTAGGTGCACCTGTAGGACGGGCAGCCTACAGCCACAACTTTGAGAATGCCTGTCACCCATGTGCCTGGCAGGTGAGTGCAGGCTGGTTATACTCACAGGCTGGCATACCTGATCTGAAGCCCCATCTGAAGCCCCATGTCCAGCCCCTCTGCAAAGCCTACGCTTGGCTGTGAACAGTTCTTTTGACTGTGACTGCAGGAAAGCCATGGTATCCCCAGAAAGGTTTGCATGCTTCCTCATTGTCATGGTCAGAGGTTGCTTTTAATCCCCGTGTCCAAAAAGTATAATGATCCTATCAGAGAAATAGGAAAACCAGTGTTAAAAAGCAAGGATCCAGAGTAACAGTCTTAGCACCCTGCCTACCTGCCCTCTAAGAAGGGGATGGCTCCTGGGTGTGCTGTGTGCCCCACGGCGCTCACAAATTATCCTACCAGGGAAGTACTACTTCCTCTGTGAATTCAAACTCAAATTAAATTTCAAAAGTTTTGGTATGTTGACCTCAGGAGATTTGGATACATCTGTTCAAACCAACAAAAATTCCTGCTCTGTGGATGCACTGGCCTAGCAGTGAGGGCAAAGAGCAGCCCCTCATGGTCCATGAGGAGGCGACTCCTTGGGGGAGACAGATGTGCAGGACAGCATCCCATACCTACTACATCCACTGAGATGGCCAGGAGAGGTTTGAATGGCGTGCCCAGAGAGCGCGGAGCTGGCCAGAGGGGCAAAGCGGGCTCAGGGACAGCACCAGCGCTTGAACTGGGACATAAGAGGAGGAGGAGGATTTAAGCTGGCAGAGTGCCCAGGGGGCTGGAAAGGACAGGCTGCATTCAGAGAGCAGTCTGGGGTTTCTGGGAGCTGGTGTGTACAAAAGGGGAGAGGTGAGGAGAGGTAATTTGGGTGGAACTGCCAAGCACTGTCATACTGAACTGAGTTAGGACTCTATTAATTGTATAAGGGGCACAATTTCTAAATGAAAGTGATTTGATAAGACTGGTTATAAAAAGGCATTCTGCTAGGAGATATATAGAGATTAGACAGATAGATGTTTTTCTTTTCAGTGGGAGATAAAAGGATCTCGAAGAATGAGACAATAATCCAGGACTATGAAGTGAGTACCTGAAATAGGGCAGCAGCAGTACGATGGCAAAGGGACAGATTCAAGAAATAACTAGTAGTACTTTGCCTTGCTAGGATTTTGCTTTGTTTTGTTTTTATTAAATTATAGTTGACATATATTAGTCTCAGGTTTACAACATAGCTATTCAACAATTATATACATTATGAAATGCTCACCATGAGAAATGAAGTTAACTGTCACCGTATGAAGATATTGTAATATTATTGGCTATTACTGACTATCCCCATGCTGTACTTTTCATCCCAGCAGCTTATTTATTTTCTACCTGGTTTGTACCTCTTGATCCCCTTCACCTATCTCCCATTCTCCCACCCCCTTCCCTATGGCAACCACTCATCTGTTTACTGTATTTATGAGTCTATTTGTTGGGTTTTTTTTTTTGGTCTGTTTGCTTGTTTGTTCATTTGTTTTTTAGATTCCACATGTACATGAGATCATATGGTATTTGTCTTTCTGTCTGACTTACTTCACTTAGCATAATAGCCTTCAGTTCCATCCATGTTGTCACAAATGGCAATATTTCTCTTTTTTTCATGACTAATATTCCATTGTATATATGTACCACATTTTCTCTATCCATTTGCCTAGTAATGGCCCCTTAGGTTGCTTCCATATCTTGGCTATTTTAAACAATGCTGCAATAAACACAGGGGTACATATGTCTTTTAAACTAGTATTTTCACTTTGTTCAGGTAAGTATCCAGAAGTGGAATTATTGGATCACATCATGTTTCATTTTTAATTTTTTAAGGAACCCCCATATTCTTTTCCATAGTGGCTGCACCAATGTACATTCCACCAACAGTATATGAGGCTCCCTTTTCTCCACATCTTCACCAACACTTGTTATTTCTTGTTTTTTTGATACTAGCCATTCTGACTGGTGTGAAGTTATATCTCAATGTGGTTTTGATTCATTTCCCTAATGATTAGTGATGTTGAACATCTTTTCAGGTACCTGTTGGCTATCTTTATGTCTCCTTTGGAAAAATGTCTATCCAGGTCCTCTGCCCATTTTTTAATTAGATTATTTGACTCTTTTGTGTTCATTTGTAGGAACTTTTAATATATTTTGGGTATTAGCCCCTTATGAGATACATCATTTGCAAATATATTCTCCCATTCAGTAGGTTGTTTTCATTTTGTTGATGGTTTCCTTCACTGTGCAGAAGGTTTTTATTTTGATGTCACCCTATTTGTTTATTTTCCTCTTGTTTCCTTTGCTGAGAAGACATATCCAGAAAAAAGTTGCTAAGGCCAATGTCCAAGTTTACTACCTATTATTTCTTTTAGGATTTTTATGGTTTCAGGTCTTTCATTTATATCTTTAATCCATTTTGAATTTATTTTTATGCATGCTGTAAGATATGGTCTGGTTTCATTCTTTTGTGTGTAGATGTCCAGTTTTCCCAACACCATTTATTGAAAAGACTCTTTTCCCCATTGTATACTCTTGCCTCCTTTGTCATAGATTAATTAACTGTATAAGCATGGGTTTATTTCTGTGCTCTCTGTTATGTTCCATTGATCTATGTGTCTATTTTTATGCCAATACCATACTGTTTTGATTATTAGCTTTGTAGTATAGTTTGAAATCAGGAGGCATAATACCTCCAGCTTTGTTCTTTCTCAAGATTGCTTTGCCTATTCAGGGTTTATAGTGTAGTTCCATACAAATTTTAGGATTATTTGTTCTAGTTCTGTGAAAAGTGCCATGAGTATTTTGATAGGGATTGCATTAAACCAGTAGATTTCTTTGGATAGTATGGATATTTAACTATTTTAATTCTTCCAGTCCATGACACAGAATATCTTTCCATTTGTTTGCATCATCTTTAATTTCTTTCATCAATGTCTTACAGTTTTCAGAGTGTAGATCCTTCACCTCCTTGTTTAAATTTATTCCTAAGTATTTTGTTCTTTTTGATGTAATTATAAATGGGATTGTTTTCTTAATTTCTCTTTCTGCTAGTTTGTTACTAGTATAAATGAAATAGATTTCTATATACTGATTTTGTATCCTGAAGTTTTACTGAATTCATATATTAGTTCTAAAATTTTTGGTGGAATATTTAGTGTTTTCTGTATGTAGGATCATGTCAGCTGCAATTAGTGAAGTTTTATTTTTTTCCTTACAAATTTGGGTGCCTTTTATTTCTTTTTTTTTGTCTAACTGTTATGGCTAGGACTTCCAGTACTATGTTGAGAGTGGGTATCCTTGTCTGTTCCTGATTTCGGAGAAAAAGCTTTCAGCTTTTCACCTTTGTGTATGATACTAGCTGTGGGTTCATCATATATGGCCTTAATTTTTTGAGGTATGTTCCCTCTATACCCACTTTAGTGAGAATTTTTATCATGAATGGATGTGGAATCTTTGTCAGATGCTTTTTCTGCACCTATGGAGATGATCTAATGGTTTTTATCCTTTGTTTTGGTAATGTAGTATATTACATTAACTGCTTTGCTGATGTTGAACCTTCTTTACATCCCTGGAATAAATCCCACTTGATCATGGAGAATGATCCATTTAATGTATTTTTTTAATTTGGTTCACTAATATTTTGATGAGGATTTTTACATCTATGTTCATCAGAGATATTGGTCTATAATTTTATTTTTTTGTCATATCTTTGGTTTTGGTATGAGAGTAGTGCTGGCCTTGTAGGATGAATTTGGAAGCCTTCTTTTGTCTTCTATTTTTTGCAATAGTTTAAAGAAGGATATTTAAAGGAGGTAGTAACTCTTCTTTAAATGTTTGTCAGAATTCATCTGTGAAGACTTCTGGTTCAGACTTTTGTTTGTTGAGATATTTTTTATTACTGATTCTATTTCCTTACTAGCATTCAGTCTGTTTAGGTTTTCTGTTTCTTCCTGGTTCAGTCTTGGAAGATTGAATGGTTCTAGAAATTTATCTATTCCTTCTAAGTTATCCAATTTGCTAGCATATAATTTTTTATAAGATCTCTTATAATCGTCTATATTTCTGTGGTGTCAATTGTAACCTTTTTCATCTCTGATTTTATTTATTTGAGTCCTTTTTCTTGATAAGTCTGACTATCCATTTTATTTATCTTTTCAGAGAATCAACTCTCAGTTTTATTAATGTTTCCTATTGTTTTTTTAGTATCTTTCTTTTATTTATGCTCTTATGACTTTGGGTTTTGTCCTTTTTCTAGTTCCTTTGGGTCTAAGATTAGATTGCTTATTTGAGATTTTCCTTGTTTCTTGAGTTAAGCCTGTAATACTATTAATTTCCCTCTTAGAATTGTTTTTGCTGCATCCCAGAGGTTTTGCACTGTTGTGTTTCTATTTTCATTTGTCTCCAAGTGTTTTTTTAATTTCCCCTTTGATTTCCTCATTGACCCATTAGTTGTTTGGTAGAATGCTGGTTGGCCTCCTCATTTTGTATTTTTTCCAGTTTTTCTTCTTGTAGTTGATTTCCAGCTTCATACTGTTGTGGTCAGAAAAGATTCTTGACATGACTTCAATCATATCAAGAATATAAGACCTAATATGTGATCGATCCTGGAGGATGTTCCATGTGCACTTGAAAAGAATGTGTATTCTGCTGGCTTTGCACATAATGTTCTGTATACATCTGTTAAATCCATCTGGTCTAATGTGTCATTCAAAGCCACTGTTTCCTGATTGATTTCTGTCTGGATGATCTATCCATGATGTAAGTGGGGTGTTCAAGTCCCAAACTATTACTGTAGTTTGTCAATTTTTCCCTTTGGGTCTGTTAATATTTACCTTATGTATTTTGGTGCTCCATTGTTGGGTGCATATATATTTGCAATTGTTTTATTCTCCTGTTGGATTGATCTGTTTACCATTGTGTAATGCCCTTCCTTGTCTTTTGTTACAGTCTTTGGTTTGAAGTCTATTTTATCTAATATAAATATTGCTACCCCAACTTCTTTCTTCTGCATCCATTTGCATGGAATAGCTTTTTCCATCCTCTCTCTTTCAGTCTGTATGTGTCTTTAGGTCTGACGTGAATTCTTCTGCAGGCATCATATAGATGGCTCCTGTTTATTTATCCTATGCCCTGTTTATTTAGTCACCTATGTCTTTTGATTGGAGCATTTAGTCCATTTATATTTAAAGTAATTATTGATGAGCATGTGGTTGTTTTCATTTTATTAATTGTTTTCTGGTTGTTTTTGTGGTTTTTCTCTGTTCCTTTTTTCTTCTCTTTCTCTGTTCTCTTGAGAAATGATGACTTTCTTTAGTGTTGTACTTGGATTCCTTTCTCTTTGTTTTTGTGTAACTCTTACAGGCTTTTGGTTTGTGATTACTATGAGGTTTATATATAGTATCCTCTATATATAAGTCTATCATTAGCTTGATGGTCATTTAAGTTGAAACACTTTCTAAAAGCACTGATTTTTAATTACTCCTCCTCCACATTTTATGTATATGATGTCATATTTTACATCTTTGTAGCTTGTGTATTCCTGACTAATTTGTAGCATAAGTAGTTTATTTTACTATTTTGGTCTTTTAAAGTTTGTACTAGCTGCATGGGTGATTGATCTACTACTTTTATTGTATGTTTGCTTTCACCAGTGAATTTTTCCTTTTATAATTATCTTGCTTCTAGTTATGACCTTTTTCATTAAATAAGTCCCTTTAATATTTCTTGTAAAGATGGTTTATTGGTGGTAAGTTCTTTTAACTTTTGGTTGTCTGGGAAACTCTCTCTTTTCATTCTTAATGATAACCTTGCTGAGTAGAGTATTCTTGGCTGCAGTTTTTTTTTTTTCCTTTCAGCACTTTGAATATATCCTACCACTCTCTTCTGGCCTGTACAGTTCTGCTGAAAAATCAGCTGATAACCTTATGAGATTTCCCTTGTCATAGCTCATTGCTTTTCTCCTGCTGCTTTTAAGATTCTACCTTTTTCTTTTAAAAATCTTTGCCATTTTAATTACTATTTGTCTTGGTGTAGACCTCCTTGGGTTCATCTCATTTTAGGCTCTTTACTTCCTGGACCTGGATGTCTGTTTCCTTCACAAGGTTAGGGAAGTTTTCAGCCATTATTTCTTCAAATAATTTTTCTTCCCTGTTTTCTCTCTCTTCTCCTTCTAGGACTTCTGTATTGGGAATGTTAGTACACTGGAATTTGTCTCAGAGTTCCCTTAACCTGTCTTCATTTCTTTTTATCCTTTTTGTTTTCTGCTCTTTAGCTTCAGGGCTTTCCATTACTCTGTCCCTCAGATCACTGACCAGTTCTTCTGCATCCTCTCATCTCCTATTGATTCCCTCTACCATTTTCTCATTTCAGCAATTGTATATTTCATCTCTGACTGGTTCTTTTTTATATTTTCTATCTCTTTGTTGAAGTTCTCACTGAGTTCATCTGCTTTTCTCTGCAGTTCCATCCAGAGTATCTCTATGGTCATTACTTTGAACTATTTATCTGGTAGATTGCTTGACTCCATTTAGTCCTTTTTCTGAAATTGGTCTTGTTCTTCCTCTGAAACTTATTTCTCTGTCTCCTCACTTTGATTCTGTGAATTCGTTTCTATGTATTATGTAAATCAGGTATGTCTTCTGCTCTTGAAAGCAGTAGCTGTTACGTAGTAGGCATCCTGTGGTGCCCAGAAATGCAATATCCTCTGGACACCAGAATCAGGTGCTTCAACAGTGTCCCCTGTGTGGGCTGGACTGTGACTGCCACAGGTTGCTCTGGTGGGAAGGGCCTGTCCTCCACCCAGCTGTTAGCAATGGAAGCCAGGCTGCTATGGGTGCATTGATACAGAGGGCTTATTCCCATTGTAGCTTCCCAAGAGGCCCAGATGTATCTACTGCAGGTATGCTGGTGGGTGGGGCTACCTGCCCCACTCTCTGGGGCAGAAACCCTCTGGAGGGGCACCTATCCTATCACGACTGCCCACAAGGTGTGGTGGCTGCTTTGGAAGGGTCCTTGTTGAGACAGGCAAGTTGGGTGGGGTGAGTCTGCAGGAGAACACTGAGGCAGGGCAAGCAGTGCTGGCACACTAGACACAGAGTGTCAGAAACAGCTCCCAGAAGCATCTGGCCAGCTAGGCTGAGAAAGGGCAAGAAAAATGACACCTGCAAGCACCTCCTCCCTTGGAAAAAGCTCCCGCTGACCCCTGCCCCTCCAGCCTTGCCAGGGTGTGTGAACGAATCCCTAGTCCCAATTACCAAAATAGAGAAGCAGGAGGAGGAGGAGACTTGGTTAAGTGGTGGACTGGGCCATGGCAGGCAGGTGGGGCATGAGAGATCAGAGAGTGAAGAGAGGGTGATGGCTTTTATTCTGAATTGTACTATTAGAAATGTCTCTGGAACACCCTGGTGGAAGTGTTTAATAGGCATTGAGAAAGATGAGTCTGGGGTCTGGAAAAGGGGGTGATGATATCAAGTTGGTGACTCCAAATACAGTTATTCAACAAATATTTCAATCTCCACTACAGAAAAAGCAGACCCCATAAAAAATGCAAAAATGAACAAGAATCAAGTCTGTACCTTAAAGTAGCTTACAACATAATTAGGGAGAAAAAACATGTACAAGATTTTCTCCATAAAAGATAATGGAAAAACCCCATGAGTGGCAGTACAGGTTTTAAGGGGGTCTAGGGGGCTCTCTGCACCTGTGGATGGCTTGTTTACCAGGGGGAATTTCTGGTAAGAAGTGATGGCTAATGTGGGCCTTGGAGGCTCTCACGGTGAGCGAGGACTTAGAACTCAGGGTGGATATATAGAAAAGCAGGAAGGCTGCGGGTTACGATGAAAAGGTGGCCCGTTTGCTGTTTGGAAGTGCTGGAATACAGAATGTTATCTGGATAGTTACTGCACTGCCCTTAACCCTGGTGAATAGCTTTTGTATTATAAATCCTCCTTAGCCAAGTTATTCTAGTCTCTGGATAAATCTCTAAGAAACTTAGATGCCTTAGCAGAACACAGTATGGTCATTCTGGAGCCAGCTTGCCTGGTCAAATTCTGGTGGAGTGTTTAGTAGCCAGATGACTTAACTTCATTTACATCAATTCCACTTCTATAAAATGAGGAAAATAATAATACCTTCTTTAGAAGGTTATTTTGAAGAACAAATGAGGAAATACATGGAGAACACTGCCTGGCTGATATTAAGCATTAAATATTCTTTTTATAAAGGTGAGGATTGGGGAGATGGGCATCATCCACCTTTCCCAGGCCCTCCTTGGGCATGTGTCTCTTACCACAATGTGCAGAAATATGATGTCCAACCTGAGGGAGGAGAAATGTCTAATTCCTATTTATTACTTTCTCAGGGTCTCTCCAGTGCCCAAGCTGCCGAGCTCCTGGCTCGGGATGGGCCCAATGCCCTGAGCCCTCCCAAGGAAGCACCAGAGATTATCAAGTTCCTCAAGCAAATGGTGGGGGGATTCTCCATCCTTCTGTGGGTAGGAGCCATCCTGTGTTGGATCGCATATGGGATTCAGTACTCCAATAATAAGTCCTCGTCCTTGGACAACGTAAGGCCCTGGGGCTCCCTTCCTGGTTTTTCTCACTAGTAATGGGAAAACAGAACCATAAAGTAAGACCTTTAGAAGACTGAGTGCTGGGCTAGAATCAAGAGTCCACCACTGATCAATCACTGCACAGGCTTGGGAAAATCAATTAATTTCCCATCTGTACAATAGAAATTATATCTGACTTTCTGATGTCACAAAGGCAGTATGATGTGAATTTTAAAAAGGGAGAGGGGGAAATACTCTGTGTTTCTAAATGGGAAGAAAAATCTATATCCATGTAAAGTATTTGTGGCCTCTTTCCCCTCAATGGTGATTGACCCCCTTGAACACAGAGAGCAGTGCTGTGTGTTGAGAACTGAGAACCGAAACCACAAAAATGAGGTGGCCAACTTGATGCTAAGAGAAAGAAGCCAGGTGCAGAAAGCCACATGCTGTATGATTCCATTGATATGAAAAGTCTAAAACAGGCATATCTCAGAGGCAGAAAGCAAACCATCGGTTGCCAGGGTGGGAGGGGGGATGGGGAGTGATGCTGATGGCCACTGGGAATCTCACTGGGATGACAGAAATGTTCTAAAGCTGGATCATGGTGATTGTTGCACAACTGTACATTTATTAAAAATCGTTGAATTGTATATTTAAAATGGGTAAATTTTGTGTCCTGACAGTGACACCAGGACACAACTGCTGTCTCTCGCCTTTCCATAGAGGGGCTCCAGTGTGAGCACCTGGCTCATTCCTGACGCTTGTTTTCTGATGGATGCCTCTCCTTGTCTGTCACCCAGGTGTACTTGGGCACTGTGCTCGCTGTGGTTGTTATTTTGACGGGGATCTTCGCGTACTACCAAGAGGCGAAAAGCACCAACATCATGGCCAGCTTCAGTAAGATGATCCCGCAGGTGAGTGGCAGCCGCTTGTCTCTGGCCTCTTTGTGGCTTCAGGTGAGGAAGCATCAGATGAGGAGGAGAGCGGTGCCTTGGAGGCGAGGGTTGGCGCTCAATCCCTGGCCCTGTCCTTTGCTGACTGAGCAGTCTTGGAAAAGTAACCTAATGTCTCTGAACCCCCATTTCCTCCCAGGGTTTTGAGATGATCAGTGAGGTAAGAGATAAGAACATGCTCAGTCAAGAGTAAAGTAGAACAGAAACACGGGCCATTCAGAACCTCTTCTGTTCCTGCTCTTAAGCATTGGTGAGCTGCTGGGAGAAAAGTGATTCAGAAGGTTCCCAGAGCAGCTGTAGGAGCTCAGGAGTGACCACCAGTAGCCAAGGAGATCAAACTGTGATTCTTTATCTGTGACCATTTCTGAGCCTCACTGCATGTTGCCCAAAATGCTCTCAGCCTAGGAAGTCCACTGCTCCCCGTTCCCACAGGAACCCCTGGCAGGTGTCCTTAGAGTCTGTGCTCCGCCCTCAGCACAGCAGTAAACCACACTCTCATCTTGCCCACGGAGCTGCCAGCTGGACAGGATTCCAGGTGGAATCCTCTATGCTAAGAAGTGGGAAATCCACTTGTACTCCATTAGTTTTCCTGACCTGAGCAAGATTATTAAACCCTTCGGCTCAGCCTTCAGGATCCTTCCTGGACACCCCGGCAAAGATCACTGATCCTTGACGGCTTCCCTTTCCCTCAGGCCCGGGGCTGTCGCTGTGCTAGATCTGCTCATGGCAGCATTTTCTGGTTTCAAGAACACCTGTGAGCTCCTCGTCAGTAAGGACCCCAAATAAAGATGTCTCATTTCATTGTTTGCCATTCTGACCGCTGTGGATTCCGGTGCATCGGCATCTGATCCTGAGATTTGGGGGTGTGGGTGAAGGAGGGTCAGCAGCACTCCAGAATCTGAGGCATCTGTCACATTTTTTTTTTTCACAGCAAGCTCTTGTCATTCGAGATTCAGAAAAGAAGACCATCCCTGCTGAGCAGCTGGTGGTGGGGGACATAGTGGAGATTAAAGGAGGAGACCAGGTCCCCGCGGACGTCCGCGTGCTGACTGCTCAGGGCTGTAAGGTGAGTGGCATGGGCCCCTCAAGGGTCATGCTTGTAGCAAGCTGGCGTCCATCATCTTTCCAGGTTTCAGTACGTGGGGCGGCAGGAAATAAGATGCCTCATTTTGAACTTTTTTCAAAATTCCTTCTAGGTCGACAATTCATCTCTCACTGGGGAATCTGAGCCCCAGGCCCGGTCCTGTGAGTTCACCCATGACAATGCCCTGGAAACAAAGAACATCTGCTTCTATTCCACAACATGCCTGGAAGGTAAGTCCTGCTAGCTCTCGGACTGTGTGCCCTGCAGGTCATGTCTCCTTCCTCAGAGCCTTGTGCTTTTGTTTCTATTATCTCTTGTACAAACTCTTCTAAGAGAATGGAATTAAAGAGCCCAGAGAACTAATATTTGGCCTTTGTAATGTCATGTGCTAATTGATCATGTAAGCCACCAAAGATAGGACTGTAGCAGGTTGTGGTCCTCCCCTAGCTGAGGATCCCTGGAATAAAATGTCTACTTCACCTGTAGGCACAGCGACTGGCATGGTCATTAACACGGGTGACCGCACCATCATTGGTCAGATCGCCTCACTGGCTTCAGGAGTCGGAAATGAGAAGACGCCCATTGCCATTGAGATCGAGCACTTTGTTCATATCGTGGCAGGAGTGGCTGTCTCCATCGGCATCCTTTTCTTCATCATCGCTATGTCCATGCAGTATTATATCTTGGACTCCATCATCTTCCTCATTGGCATCACTGTGGCCAATGTGCCTGAGGGTCTCCTGGCCACTGTCACTGTGAGTCCATGCTGTTAGGTGGCCTGCACCCTGACCCTGTTATCACAGCCATTCAGCTGGGCTAGGGGAGAGCCCCCTGCAAACTGAGTCTCTTCCATCTTCAGAGCCACACTTCCTCCCCATCAGGGACAGCCCTTCGACGTTCTGAGTAGACTGTTTCTTAGAGGGACAAAAGGAATGCGATATTGTTAATATCTGAATACACTGTCCTTGAAACCTTTATATTTTCATTTTCAGGAGATCTATCTGCAAACCATGTATGTTACTTGCTCCTTAAGATACAGATAAAACATATTCGAACCACCACTTGCAGATTTTCTAGAAGCCTGATGCCTTTGCCACATTTCTACATTTCCTAAAAAGGAAAAAAAAAAGTTCTTTGGAAGTTTCTATAACTTAGGAACTCAGGAACATTGTCTACCTCCCTTCTTTTTCCTCTCAGACACACATATGCACACATGTGCATGCACATGTGCACATGCACACATTCCTCCCATTTTTTTGCAAAGCAGTTCAGCCCTTTGCTGCCCCTACTTTGGGTCTCCCTCAGTAAGGGCGCTTCCAATTCATCCTTAAACAAACCCCTGCCCCAGTCTCTGCTGTGGAGGCCCTGTGGGGTGGGGAAGAGGAGATCCATATTCCCAGTTCTGTAGAAAGGCAGCCTCCACGATCATTGGCCTGGTGTTGTTCTGAGCAAAGAGAGAGGAGTTTGTAAACCCCAGTTCTTCTAACTCCAGCAGATAATAGTTTTAAAAAACTGGAGTCAGAATAACACTTTGGATCTTGGTGTTTAAAATACAGTGCTAAGAATCTAAAATGTGGAGCTCTCAAATGAAACACACGCTCATTGATTCTCCAGATCAACAGGTGGGCCCTTTGGGACAAGCCCTTCGGCACACACCAGTCAAAACCCTCTTGAGTATTCGTGCTTGTGAATGACGGGCCAGGGGGCCAGCACCCCCTTGATAATCATGTGTGAGCTCTGGTCACATCTCGCCTGGCTCTGCCACCTGTGGGTCCCTCACCATCATTTTCTTCAAGGGGTGATGGGACAAATAAAACATCTCATATTTAATAAGAGGACTGTGGCGAACAGGGCTTTATAGGGTTTATTAGCCACCGGGTAGGTTTGTGGCATCTGTAACTGTCCCTCTGTCCTGAAACTAGTCCTTCTCTAGCTACTTCTGTGTTAATGGACCTGAGTCAAAATGGTTTTCCTCAAAGCTTCCTCTCTCTCTCATCTAGGTTACTCTGTCACTGACGGCGAAACGGATGGCGAAGAAGAACTGCCTGGTCAAGAACCTAGAGGCTGTGGAGACGCTGGGCTCCACCTCCATCATTTGTTCAGACAAGACTGGGACTCTGACCCAGAACAGGATGACTGTGGCCCATCTGTGGTTTGACAACCAGATCTTCATGGCTGACACTAGCGAAAGCCATTCAAGTAAGTCTTGTGGAGCATTCAGTATAGCCCGTGCCGTGGACTCCTGCAGTGGGTGCTAAGCTGAACATGGTGGTGGCCCTGGTCTGCAGTCTCAGAGAGCTGCTTGAATAGTATGGTTCGCAAAGAGTGGCCTGGCCTACAGCATCCTCTGCTCTTCTGTTTTCTAGATCAAGTCTTTGATCAAAGCTCCGAAACCTGGGCCTCCTTATCAAAGATAATAACATTGTGTAACCGAGCTGAATTCAAACCAGGACAGGAAAGCGTCCCAATCATGAAGGTAAAGCTTCTGCGTCACTTGGTCTTAAATCCCAGCCAGTTTGAAGTCACTTTCTCTGTTCTGATTTGGTGCTTGATTTAATCTCTCCGAGTGAACTTTGTACTAGTAAGAGCCAGTCTGACTCACAAGACCTGCAGAAAATTTTCTTCATTAACTAACTTTGAGAAATCAGAGATGTCTAAAATTTCTCAGCACACTGATTTAGATCTTTTGATAATTGTGTCTCATTCCAGAAAATAAATGTGCTGCCTTCAAGTGACTTTCCTAATTTCTTTACCAGCTAAGGAGATATCATCAAAGCATCTTTATTACATAAATGCCACTCACTGAAGCTTGAAATGTAATTGGGAATTGGGTGGAAATAGAAGGACTGATCTCAGAACATACTCCCCTTGGCAGCAGATGGAGCCCTGAGGGGTCCTGGAATACTGGAATATGCACAGACAAACTCTTCTCCCTCTCATGGGGTCACGGCATCCGTGTTCTCCTGGTGTGTCTATTTGCCATCTGTTTCCTTCATTGACTCTTTCTCTTTATTAAATTGTTTATTTGCTTTTCTTTCTCTATCAGACAGCTTATCAATTCTCTTTCTGGCCAGTCACTTCCTTGTCTGCATCTGTCAATCCCTATCTCTAGTTCTGGTTTCTGACGCAGACTCCACGGATCTCCAGCCACCTGCATGTTTATACTTGGAAATTTTGCCATGTTAGACTCTCAGCAAATCGTACTTGTGTCTTGCACCTGTATCCAACTTGGCTCCAAGTCAATGTCTTGTCCCAAATGTCCTGTTTTTCTGTGACATAACCATTTTACTTATCACCAAAGTCAGAACTTTTGGAAGTCATTTTTAACTTTCTCCTTCCCTAATATCTAGTGAATCACCAAGTTTTATTGTTCTTGCTTCAAAATATCTATGACTTTGTATTTCTATTATCACCAATATGTAAATAATTGTACTAACCTCTTAATCAGCCTCCATGATTCCAGTTTAACCCTCTTTATATTTCCCTCTTTGTATTTATTTCCATAAATACTTCATTAGATGAAATACATCACCTGACTTTACTCAAAAACTTTCCTCCTGTAGTTTCCGCTTCTCAAGTCCAGACCTTGGCCTGCCCCAGCCCATCAGGGCCCTCTCTGTGTGACCATATCCACCTGCCCTGACCAGAGACTCTTTCCCACCATGCCTTCATTCATGGCTTCCTGGTTTCTAGAAGGCTTTCTTCTACTGTTCTGTCAGTAACCCACCTGTCTTTCAAGATACAGTTCACAGCCACTTTTTTCATGACACCCTCCAGCCCTCATAAAGCTCTAATTTTTTTGAACCATAGTGCCTGTCGGCAACACCGTTTAGTCTGACACTTTGACCAGGTCTCAAATCAGTCACTAATTGTGATGTAATCAATTTTTCTCTCTAGTTTGATGGTAAAGTTAGTCATTGAAAATAATCACAAATAACCAAACCAGAGTATGTGCTGCAAATACTTGTTTCTCTCTTTTGATTCTCAGAAAGTTGTGGTTGGAGATGCTTCAGAAACAGCTCTTTTGAAATTCTCAGAGGTCATTTTGGGCGATGTGATGGAAATTAGAAAGAGAAACCACAAAGTGGCTGAAATCCCTTTTAACTCGACTAATAAATTTCAGGTGAGTTTTTTCTCCCAACTAAATCTTTGTCTTCACTAGAATGGCATTTCTACCTGTAAGTATCCTTTGGATGGCTTCTATTTTGAATGATGCTTGACTTCAGAAACAGTCCCGGGGGATGCAGGGCCCGGGCATCAAGGAGACCCAGAGCGGGTTTCCTCCGCCCACTTCCTTCCTTTGTTTGAAGTCAGAAGAGAAAAAGAGAAAGGTGGGTATCTTGTCAGGGTCTGGCTATTCCTGTGAGTGATCTAGCTGTATTACGTACACACTCACAAACACACCACTACCAGCACACCTCTGCTGAGTGACTTTTACACAAACGAGGAGCAAGGCCCACATCCCAGAGACTAGGCGCAAGGGTGCGAGTGGGGAGAGCCGACACTCCCGGAGTTCACTGCGCCCTGGTCTGCATCAGGCACTCTATGCACTTCATCCCACTTGGTCCTCAGAGTAAGCCTGTGACGTAGGACTAAAAATAATCCTGATCTCTAGGTGAGGAAACAGGTCCTTAGGAAGGAGCAGAGTCACACAAGCATCTAATGGCACAACCAGTTTGCACATCTTTTTGACTCCCAAGTCCATGCTTTCTCTACCGCAACACAGAGGCAGGTGTTTACTTCAGGCCATGTGAGCAGCCTTGCCCTTTGCAAAGACCAGTGAGTGGTCTCTCAGGCGGCCAGTCACGCTGAGCTCCAGGACTGTCCTCTGCCCCTGGGAGGAATTTCCTTTCCATCCATCGCTTGGGAAGAAGTGGCCTCCTTGCCTCATTGTCTCCGCTCCTTCTAGGGGTGACCCACGTTCAGCCCTCCCCATCCTCCTCATGTTAGGACAAATGACAATTTATTGCCCAAGGTATGGATGCAGGTGGGATTTCCCATAGACACCAAGTCTGAGAGCAGGGCATCAAGACTTGGCCTCTGTATGACAGGAGAGTTTATGAACAGGATAAGCATGTTTGTAAAAGTTTCTGATGATTACTCAAACATTTTGTTTGGATGGAGTTTAGGATTGAAAAAGAACTGTTTGTGTTGCAAACATCTTTGTGGATAATGGGCTAATAAAGAATTGCAGTTTGCCAAATAGACATCAAAAACATATGATATAAAACGTTAAAGCCAGGAAATCAGACCTCTTGTTCAGAATGTAAATGAAAGTCGAATGAGTAACAATCTTAGAATTACAGTTGCAGTGGTAGCTATTATGTGCCAATTCCCACGTGTATTAAGTCACTCATTCTCACAACAGCAGGTAAGTGGAGAGTGAGGGAACTGAGAGCAGAGCACCATCACACAGCCAGTAAGGGCCAGGGCCAGGATTCAAACGGAGCCAGGGAGTCTGTGCTCTGAAGTACTAGTTTGATTGACCTTCTGGTCAGAAACAAGACTCCAGGTCCTGCTGGGTCTCCGTCTACCAGGAACGGCTTCCTTGTCATGTGAGAAGCAGGTTCCCCAAGGCCTCACCTACCAAATGCTGAGGGAGAAAGCAGGCTTCGCAGAGTCGGGACTGGAAAGGAGAGGGTCCCGTATGGGTCCCTGCAGAAGAGATCAAACAGCCTCTTCGGAGCTGTTAGGGCCCCTCTGCTGCTGACATGAGCAACACGCAGCCCTCGACCAGGACCCTTAGTGGCCCTGACCTTAGAAGGTCTCCAGGGTATCATTCAACCCAAGGAAACAAAGTGGAGTCTTTGCCTTGTTGACCTTAGGCTAGCAATTCCCCAAATTAAGACTGTATAAAAATATTTTCAGTAGTTTATGGCAAATGGGAAGATTGGGACAATATTTTATGAAGTTTTATATTAAGATGAATACATTTAATTTAAAAGATCATCCTTTATTTCTTACGCAGTTAGGGCAGGGACCCTGGAGCCTGCTGGCCTGAATTCAGATCCCAGGGCAGCCACCTGCTAGGGTATGACCTTGCTCAAGTCACTTCAGCGTCCTTCCCTGTCAGGGTGACAATACTCACAGCTTGGGCTAGTTTTGAGAATTAAATGGGTCACTGTGTGAGGCACTTAAAACAGTACACACTAAAAAAGTGTTTATTATGCCTACTTTTTAAATATTAAAATGTCCTATCTTTGAGAAAATAATAGTAAAAATAGATGGGAGGTTTAGTTTTGGTTTTGGTCGGTTAGTTGGGGTTTTTTTTAATGTGTTTCCTTGACCATGAAAAAAACGCTGGCAACCCTATGTTTGCCATTTATTTTTTTGTACTCACCTCTGATATCCAAAAGTCTGAGAACTACTAATGTAGAATCAACTGACAGACCCTGATGGTAGAAAGTTTCTCTGTAACTTAATTCATTCTCTTCCTGAAATTCCTTTGAAGGGCTTAGACGAGTATCTGGTATAAAATAAAGGCTACATAGACTTAGCCACTTTATCATCATCTATAATTTTTTTCACATTTTTCCTTATTACTTATTAGGATGAATCTAGAAATGGAATCACTAGATCAAAGGATATAGATGTTAACACGGTGACACCTATTTCTTGCCAGTCTTCCTGGAAGCCTGCCCCTGAGATGCCCACTTCCTCACAGGCCCCTACCCCCACCCCTACCCCATTTTCTTTCACATCCAGGCGGTTAAACCGGATCAATTCGGGGATGAGGAGGGACACGGCTCCTGCCGCCCTCAGGGGGTCTGAGCTCCGAACAGCTTGGGTCTGAAGGCTGCTCCTCACAGTAGGGTGGCAGAGACAGGAGGTGAGGTGAGATGGCTCAGCTGCCACCCCGCCAGGCACTCCAGAGATCTTACTCCAGTTAGGAGATGTCATGACCAATAGCCACATCTCGCCTCCCTACAGCAGCCAGGTTCTGCTTGGAAGACAGTCTCCACTTAGTTCGAATGCAAACTCAGGGTTCGCCCTGGGCTTGGACTAAGTCTAGATCTCTGCATATTTTGTGGCCACAAAGTAAAAAGTGTAAAACACACCTGTAGAAACTACTCCTCCTTTACACTTAAAGGGTAAGAGTCCAGCAAAGGCAAAGGATGTTTTGGGTCGTCTTGTCATGTTCCTAATCAAAGGAACTGCACAGCCTAGGCCCTTAGCAGTAGTGATGCGTCACTGCCGCATAGCCTGCTGTACTTACCACCTCAATCCCTTCCCTCCAGCTCTCCATACACAGGACGGATGACCCCAGTGACAAGCGCTTCCTCCTGGTGATGAAAGGGGCCCCGGAAAGGGTCTTAGAGAAGTGCAGCACCATCATGGTCAGCGGCCGGGAGCAGCCTCTGGACAGGAGCACGGCAGAGGCCTTCCACACGGCCTACATGGAGCTGGGGGGCCTGGGCGAGCGCGTGCTGGGTGAGCGCTCAGCGGCAGAGCCATCCTCCATCACCTGTGAGGTGGGAGGCTCCAGGCCAGGCCAGGGCACAAGATGAGACAGCTTATATCTAGCAAGTAGCTGTGGTATCCACAGGACTCATGGGAAGAAGAATACGGGGTGCATATAAGAGAATCTGTGTGATAGCCCTGAGCATGGGGTCTCTCCCCGCGAAGGAGACTCTGGGGAGAGTTTATAGAAGGAGTTACATTTTAACCTGGGCCTTGAATGACAGCCTTTGAAGGGAAGCAGGGGGAAGCATTCACAGGTGAGGAAGCAGGCCAGAGCACACAGGCAGGAATGGATGGGTATGCACACATGGCCAGCAGGCCTGTCTATGTTGAGCTTGGCAGGTAGATGAGATGACATAGTCATGGGAAATAGGCCTGGAAAGAGCAATGAGTCGTGATGCCACATGCCTAATGGGGCAGGGACAGGGTTTCATTCTGCAGTCAGTGCGCAGCCGCCAAAGGCCATGTGGCAGGGGACAGATCAGGCACAGCGACAGCGAGAGGAGAGGTGTGAGGCTCAGTGGAGGTGGTTGCCCCCACTCAGGTGAAAGAGCAATGGGAACAGGAGAGGGGTCAGATACACGAGCCTTCATGGAGGCAGACCTGGTTAAGCTAGGCAGCTAATTAGAGGAGAAAAGCGTTTTTAAAAAATGTTGAAGTTTTCCTCTTAGTAATGAGGGAACAAATACTGCCAGTCACAGAAATGGAACATTACAGGTGGAATGAACTACAGAAATACAAGCACTGTGACAGGAGCCTAGCTGGGTAACGTAAGCGGTAACGTGGCGCATGTTCTTTGTGGGAGTGGTAGGCTCACAGAACACTACCTCTGAACTACAGAGTGATGGATTCAAGGTGACAGAAGTTCATGGCTGATGATATGGCTCATTAAACATCATGAAAATTCTTGCCAATAGAGATGGAATCTGTGGAATGTGTATTTTTAAAGGATATTTGAGTCTGTAAAGCAAATGAAGTATGTAAATGAGACCATAATGCTCTGAGCATGCCTTGAATAACCCATGGCACCCGGCAGTCTTTGCAGTGCAGGACTGATGCGCATCTGACTAGAGCCGCTCCAGGAGCCTCGTGTCTGACCTCTCAAAGTCTGGCTTCACTGAGATGTGTAAAGCAGTGGGCCATGCTGAGAATACATTTGATGTAAAGCTTATGAGACAGTCATGGGGTCACAGAACCTCTTCTGCTCAACCTGTAGAGGCAGATGCCTTCCAAGTAACGAAATGTCCTCTGCTCCTAACTGCCTTGCTCCCACCATCCTCTTGATTAAAGGCTGAGCTTCACACCATTGCCCAGATGCCCCCAGAGGCTTCCCCAGTCTGTGCAGTAGCTCATTTGTTTTCTCTGCCAAATTGGCATTCCCACCAGTAGGCCTCCCTTCCTTCCCTGGTAATGTCTGTCCCCTCTTAAGAGACAGCTCCCGGTGATGCCTCGGTGAGGGAGGCCCTCCCCGATTCCCCAGCAGCAGCAGAACTCCACTCCATAGTGCTCACCATGGTTCATTATGCTTTATCTCGTTAAAGCACACGAAACTAGAGCATCTTCAGAAGGAAAGGCTGGGCACTCTTGGTCTTTATATCCCTAGAACATGACAGAGAACCTGATGCCCACACAGTAAATTATTTTTGGGTGAAATACATCTTTCCTAAAAGCAACATGCATTAGGGAATTGAAAGAACTAAACCAGCCTAGTATACTTAATCTAAAGCATTAGTAAAATAGTGAAGAACTGAGAGTGTGTGAAAATGTTCTTCCTTGGCTGTTGTCATCTTTACCCTGGTTCATTGACTCCCGAATTCATGCCCCTTCCAGGTTTTTGTCATTTCTACCTGCCAGCAGATGAGTTTCCAGAAACCTACTCATTTGATATAGATGCCATGAACTTTCCTACATCCAACCTCTGTTTTGTGGGGCTCTTGTCAATGATTGACCCCCCTCGGTCCACTGTTCCTGACGCAGTCACCAAATGCCGGAGCGCAGGAATCAAGGTGAGAGTTATTTTCCTGACTTAAGATTCTCCATTTCAATTATATCCCTGAGAATATTTGTCATACAAAATAGTATTTAGGTCTCTTCAAGTAAATATCATAATTCCCCTTTTTTTTATCCCTATCTTCACCATAATAGATTTTGGTAACCAATAAAAGCAAAATGACTGTGTCGTGTGGAGTAAACCACAATAGTAGCTGCAGTGAGAACTGCCACAAGGTGACCGTATCTTACCCTAGACTATGACAGACAATAAAAGGTTTTGTGATTCAGCTTTGAGGTCCAGACTCCATAAGCCATTACCTTCATGATACTGAAGTGAAAATATTAATCCCTTACCAGGTGATAATGTGCTAAGCAGCATGAGGCTGTCCCAAGTAGATGGCTACCAGCCCTTTCACAAAAAATGTGATGTCCTCTAATGTCAGGGGAGGAAATGTAAGACGCTCATAGCAGAACAATAGGATCAGTGTGTCCTTTGAAGACAGTTGTGTCTTTGATCTAAAGATCCAAGGACTGCCCGAAAGGGCAGACCACAATAATCACTAACCTTCTTCTACCAGATTATGGTCAAGTAGGCAATACTGAATTGTCCCTACACTGGCCAGCTGGGTTCTCATTGTGTAAATGCCTCTCTCATTTTGTTCCAGGTTATTATGGTTACAGGCGATCATCCAATCACAGCCAAAGCTATTGCCAAGAGCGTAGGTATCATTTCAGCTAACAGTGAGACGGTGGAAGACATTGCAAAACGTCTCAACATTGCTGTGGAACAAGTCAACAAACGGTGAGCACAGAACCAACGTGGCAGAAACTTAACTTCTCACCTGTGGGGCTTTGTTGGCTCTAAAGAGCTGTTCTATTTGGAGCAAATCCCCTTTGTGCCAAATGCTCTCTCAAGGTAGTGCTAGGCTGGCTTCCTTTATAATTCATATATTCACTCATTCACTCAAAATTTAATGAACACCTAATGTGTGCCACTGTGTTGATTGCTATAAAAATTACCCTTTATGTATTCCGTGTATGAAATTTCAAACCCAATGAAGTGGATCTGAAAACTTAAGTGCCCAATTTAGAGTGAGAAAAACTGAAACAGACAGTTTATGTGAAATTACTTGCCATTGATCTAGTTGTGTGGTCAGGAATATTAAGAACCCCTGGGGTTTCGTGCACCCACCTACTGTGCATTTTGAGCTTTCATCTGCTCAGTGTTGCAGTGTAAACACATGCTTCTTTTCTATTTTATCTGGCAGTAAATAGAATGGAAGCTTCCTAAGGGAAGACTCAGGTTCCCCTTTTGTCTCCTAGTTCCTTTAATCACGTCTGTCCTCTCAGCCATTCATTCATGTACTAATTCTTTCAACAATTAATTGTTGAGTGCCAACTATATACCAAGCACCATGCTACACACTGGAACTACAATGCCAAACAGATCAGACACTATGTCCACCATTGGGGAGATTCCCATCCAGCTAGAGTGACAGAAAAATAGAAAGTAATTGTGACATGATAAGTACAATGAAGAACACACATGGGGACACAAGGGCTGGCAGTGGGAGGAGAGTTACCTGGACTGTTGATAATTTAAATGATCAAAGACTCTGAAGTCTCAGTTTGAAAATAAATGTCATTGGCCTCATAATACTTTGATGCATGTGGAGCGAAAAGGAACACCAGTGAACTGCCTCTAGTTTACCCAGGCATTTATGCCTTTTAGGAACACTGAGCTGCCAGGTAATAACTTAGCAATTAGGACAAATTACCTAGTAGGGCAACCAAACAGAGTGGCAGCCTCTGGGCACAACACTATCTTTATTCTAAAGTAGGTCTGTGCTCTTTTGTATAAATAATATTCATCTACAAAAACACAGGTTTGGGGCATTTCTTTATTTGTTTTTTTTGTAAAAAATAATAGGATTATGTATTTCATACAAGTCACCACACTGAACAGGGCAGTGGGGTAGACACTTCTGTGAATGTTTGCAGTTATCAATGTTATCAGCTCTGGCTTCATAATCATGGTATTTTTGCAGCTATGGGCGAGTGGGCAGAGAAACACCCTTCTTATCCCGTTACATTTTTTTCCCAGAACATAAGAAGACCTATAGTTTGAGTCAAGTACTGCAACTCTAATATTTAGCATCAGTAGGGAAAAACAGACCTAAAAAACTCAAAACTTAAAACATGTAACAAATCATGCAGTGTTCTGTACTCAGAGTATTTAAGCTGACCTTTGAAGGCTGAAACACAGAGTCAGCCATTCCCAGCGAAGGCAGCAGGTAGCAAGCACCCAGGCCCCAGGACCGGGCCTGCTGAGCAGTGGGCCGGGCGCCCCGGGCCGCACTGCACAGGCCATGCTGAGCACAGCGCGAGGCCTCTGAAGGGTTTAGTCAGACGAACAGGACCAGCAGTTCCCAGAACATTACTTTCATAGTCAGCTGAGTGTCCCCCAAAGAAGACCTCAGTACAGTCCTCTCCCTAACAGTTCTTTGCATAGTGGATGCTCCATAAATCTGAAATAAACAACAACAAAGAACTGTCACCCGTGTATTTTGGTATAAGCTGAATTTTAGAATCCCAAACAGAGAAACAGGAATTTTTTTTTAACCTCCTTTTACTTAAGTACCACCCTCACCCATTTCCATAAGGGAAAGCTACTGGCATGTTCCTATTGTTGTAGTGCCAGGCATGCACTTTCCTAGCCTCAGTTTACTATCCTGAAATGGAGACCAGACTGTCCCCAGGGCTTACAGCTCTGTCATCCACTAGTGTGGTGGGTGTTAATGACACTGGGCTCCAGGTAAAGGAAAAGGGCCTCCAGCCCAGAGCAGTGTTTCCACGTATGACCCAACCTGGAGCCTCATCCGGCTCCTACCTGCCCTTCCAGGGATGCTAAGGCTGTGGTGGTGACTGGCACAGAACTGAAGGACATGAGCCAGGAACAGCTGGATGAGCTTTTAACCAACTACTCAGAGATCGTGTTTGCCCGGACATCCCCCCAGCAGAAGCTGGTCATTGTGGAGGGCTGTCAGAGGCAGGTGGGTAGCACCAGTGCCAGAGAGCCTTCCGGGTCTGCTGCTGTCCTGGGGCCTGTGTGCAGGGCTGAGGCCTGGGTCCCTGAATGGGACTCTGGCACCTTTTAAAACCTCTCAATCAAAAGACCATTCTTCACCTGGTCCCATCACCTCTTGGCGCTAACCCTCTGCCCTCCTTTGAGGCCCTCCCACATGCAGGGCTTTCTGAATGAAGCATTTGGTGCACTGGGGTAGGTGTGGGATAAGAAGATTTTAAAATGTAAGATACACATTTTACTCAAGACACAGATGTAACAGACCCACTCTAGCCCACCCTGCACTGGTCTTATTACTCAAACACATGCTGGTCGTCACCCCTCGCTCCGGGATTCCCGTCTTTATCTTCCCCAGAATGGGCCCTCAGTTTCAGCTGCTCTTGTCCCTTCACCTTCTAGGAAGGGAGGCTGTTGTTCTGCCCAGCCTGTGGGCCCTCGGAACTGCCCTCTCCCACTTTCTCACCACGTCCCCACAGGATGCAGTTGTCGCTGTGACGGGGGATGGAGTTAATGATTCTCCAGCTCTAAAGAAGGCAGACATTGGGATCGCCATGGGGATAGCAGGCTCCGACGCCGCCAAAAACGCAGCTGACATGGTCTTGCTGGACGACAATTTCGCATCCATAGTCACAGGGGTGGAGGAAGGTGAGTGCAGTCTTGAGTGGTCTCACTGGGGGCTGGGGGCACCTGGGGACCAAAAGCAAATCCTATGAAGGGCAACATCTTTGCCTAGGTCGCCTGATCTTTGACAACCTAAAGAAGACAATCGCATATACGCTGACCAAGAACATTGCCGAGCTGTGCCCCTTCCTGATCTACATCATCGTTGGGCTTCCCTTGCCCATTGGCAGCATTACTATCTTGTTCATCGACTTGGGCACAGACATAGTAAGTGGCCCCAAAAGGAGCATGGTCCAGTAACTGCCGCAGGGGGTGTGGACTTCGGAGTCATTACCTATGCTTCTCAAACTTCTCATGATGGGGCCTGAAGTTCTGCATTTCTAACAAGCTCTTGTCATCTAGCAATGCTCTTGTCATTCTGCCATCAGGGCAGGGTTTCAGGGTCAGGCTTCACAGCTCTCTCCCCTCTAGATCCCCTCCATTGCCTTGGCTTATGAGAAAGCTGAAAGTGACATTATGAACAGAAAGCCTCGCCACAAGAAGAAGGACAGACTGGTGAATCAGGAACTTGCCATTTACTCTTACCTGCACATCGGTATGACCGCACATTTCTTGCCTGTCACACAATGGCCACCCAGAGAACTCATTGCAGTCAGAAACTTCTTCCTTGGGGGGGCGGGGTTGGGATGGGAGGAGGGGCCAAGGGGAGGGCGGGGACAGGATGGTTCGACGTCGGTCTGGAGCCTGCACGCCCTCCTCTCCTTTACGCTTCCAGGCCTCATGCAAGCTGTGGGGGCTTTTGTGGTGTATTTTGCTGTGTACGCACAGGAGGGCTTCCGCCCCACCGCACTTATCAGTCTCCGGGTAGAATGGGAAAAGGACTATGTGAACGACTTGGAGGACAGCTACGGACAGGAGTGGGTAAGGAGGTCCTCTGCCCCACCCTCCTGCCTTGCCCAACCTGGTGCAGAACTTTCATTTACATGGATGGCCTTTTCTGGGGCAGAGAAGGTGAACACTCTCTCAGTTGGTAGGGCTGTGGGCCTCTGGGTTCCAGTGGCATGACCTTTGTGGGGACTCAGCTTCCGCTCTGGAATTAGATGCTTAGCATCAGCTTTGCAGCCAGTATGGAAGAGCAGCCCACCCAGCAATGCCCACAGCTGGACCAAATCAGTTAAGTTAGTGTCTTTCCCTTCTTACCTGGTTGAAGAAAAAAAACTGTTTCTTTCCAAACACAGGAAGGTGGTTCCCTCTCATTCTCTGTGAGGTCAGGAAAAAGGGTTGACCTTACGCAACTGCACCGAGATCTCCCTGAGGGTTTCCCTCTAGCGCCTCATGGTCTCCTTTCTCTGTCCACTGGCAGACGAGGTCCCAGAGGACGTACCTGGAATGGTCAGGCTACACGGCTTTCTTTGTTGGCATCATGGTCCAGCAAACAGCCGATCTCATCATCAGGAAGACTCGGAGGAATTCCATCTTCCAGCAGGGTCTCTTCAGGTGCCTGCCTGCCCATGCCCAACCTACACCTGAGATGCAGTGAGGGGAGCCATGCTTGTAGCCCCAGGCTAGCCGGAGGCACTGTGCCATGGGTTCCGAATCTGTTTGTCTTTGTGTTTCTTGTAGAAATAAAGTCATCTGGGTGGGAATTGCCTCGCAGGTCATCATTGCATTGATCCTCTCCTACGGCCTTGGAAGTGTCACGGCCCTGAACTTCACCATGCTCCGGTGAGCTCCCCTCTGCAGTGGGCGGGAGGGGCCAGCCCTGTTCTGAGTGGTCTTAGTCTGAGTAATCTCTTAACCTCCCAGGGCTCCTTCCCCTCCAGTCTTTAAAAGAGATAAAGGAGTGTCAGTTCCATACTAGTCCAAGGCTTTGGCCACAAGAGGAAGCGGATTTTGCAGACCTCACATCCCATTGCTACCTGCACCCAGCAGGTCACTTCAAAGGCAGGTGTTGCTTCTAGTGGGCACAGTCCACGTTAAATGAGAGCTTTTCCAGGTCTGTGTTGTGTGACCCAGTGGACTTATTCTTTCCAGTAAGGCAGGGAAAAT